GCTGGCTAACCTCAGCCGCGAGCCGGCGCCGTGTGCTGCGCTGATGGCGGCGCTGGCGGCTGCGGAGCCGGTGGAGACGGGCCTGGAGCGGCTGGTTCGAGCGCTGTGCACTCCCGGCTACAACCCCCGCGCGCCCCTTCACTACCTGGGGCCAGTGCTTTCTAACCTCAGCCAGCGTCCCGCCACGCGCGCTTTCCTGCTGGACCGCGACAGGTGAAGCCCAGGGTGCTCGCTGGGAGGGGGTGAAAGCGAGAAGGGACGGCACTGAGTGGTCCTTCCCTCCAGGTGCGTGGTCCAGCGGCTGCTGCCCCTTACCCAATACGCGGACTCCTCGGTGCGCAGGGGCGGGGTGGTGGGGACACTGCGAAACTGCTGCTTCGAGCACCGTGAGTGGTGGTGGGGAAATTGCCATGTCGGAGAATGGGGGGGATAGACTGCACTGGGGCCCCTCTGGACTGGCCTCCATTCCTATTTTCCCCAGGACACCATGAGTGGTTGCTTGGGCCCGAGGTGGACATTCTCCCCTTCTTGCTACTGCCCCTGGCTGGGCCTGAGGACTTCTCTGAGGAGGAGATGGAGCGTGAGTGGCTTGGGCTGAGCCTCAGGGTTGGCTAGGCAGGAAGGGAGGCCATTAGGGGAGAGGGAGAAGGTGTCCAGGTCAGGGTCTCTTCTGAAACATTCCAGCAGGGAGCTAAGCACAGATTTGGCTTACAATGGTAGGGTCTGGCGTATCAGCCCAGGGACCACATAGGGACCCAGTGACTCCCACATTCACCCCTAGGGCTGCCTGTTGACCTGCAGTACCTGCCGTCAGACAAGCAGCGAGAGTCTGATGCCGACATCCGCAAAATGCTCATTGAGGCCATCATGCTGGTGAGCAGCGGTCCTGCTACATTAATGCCCCCCGCAACACACACAAGTACACAACATCTGGGTAACCTCTGCCCTCTCCCAGCTGACAGCAACGGCGCCTGGTCGGAAGCAGGTGAGAGACCAGGGAGCCTACCTGATCCTGCGTGAGCTGCACAGCTGGGAGTCAGAGCCCGATGTGCGGATGGCTTGTGAGAAACTCATCCAGGTGGGTGCGGGGCTAGGGGTGTGGTGGGTGAGCGTGGTGTGCTAGCCAGCTGCTCATCTGCCTGCCCTGCTGGCAGGTGCTTATTGGGGACGAGCCAGAGCACGGCATGGAGAACCTGCTGGAGGTGCAGGTGCCCGAAGATATTGAGCGAGAGCTGCAGCAGCAGGACCTCCAGGACCAGGAGCAGTGTGCGCGGGAGCGTCAGGAGCAGGAACTGGCTCCAGAGCCACAAGCAGAGGGAGCTGCACCCACCTGAGGCCCCTGAAGCCCGCCACCAGCTCCAGGCTTCCCAGACCAGACCCATCTGCAGCTGCCGGCAGGCCTCCGGGTCCCCTTGCTCTGAGGCTGTGCGCTGCTGAGAAGCAGAGCCACCTATAAGCTCCAGGTCCTTGCTGAGGGCCCTAGAGTGAGTGCTCAGGAAGCACTGGAGTTTTGAGGGCACTGTTCCTCCCTGTGCCCTGTTGCTTCCAGCAAGAATGCTGGTTGCTCAGAGAAGGAATGTTCAACCAGAGCTGGCCAGGCCCTATGACTTGCTCAGGTACATCCTCGGTGTGTCCTATGAGGCTGGACAGAAAAGCACTGCAAGCTGGAGGGGTCAGCTGAAGCTTCCCAGTCCCAGGGGCGCTGCAGTGGTCTGGGCGTAGGTGGGCACCCAGGTGCTTGCAGTGCCCCTTCCTGCCAGTCCTGTCCTGGGGCCCTCAGCTTGCCCTGCCTGAGACTCGGCCTCAAAGGGCTGACTTCTTGAGATTCTCACCAGCCACAACCTGTCCTGGAGCCTCCTAGGGCTGCATCCCCCTGGCCTCTCCCTGGAGCACTCCCTCTCATCCTCTCCACCTTCCCACTTGACCTTGCTCAAACCCAGTTCTCAACTCCGTGCAAGCTCCTCGAGTCCTGTTTCCCAGTTCTGGACTAAGCTGATGCCCTCGCCCTCTCCCAATAGCTAGGCCCTCTCCCTGGTCAACTTCCCTGAGTCTCAGCTCCCCAGAACCCCTTGTCTACCATGCTGAGAGCCTCCCTGATAAGCCTGCAGCCTTGCCCATGGTCCAAGGTTTTCTCCCACCACCCTCTGCCCCCTTTGAGCCCCTGGCTCCATGTGTGGTTCCCCCAATTCTTCAGCCACCAAGCCTTGAAGACTGTCACTGGTAGGCTGTCTGTGTGGCCCTCACCCCACTGTACTCTCTTCCAGAGCCTCCCACCAAACCTAGTGCCATCTTGCACAGGACCACTGTGTACTGGCCCTCCCAGGCCCGTTGTACCCTGGTGCCAGAGTGTAGCTTCTCTTCCCAAGAGTTCCCAATACCCCCGACTCCACAAGTCTCAGTCTGGTACTGCCTTAAAGCTGGAGGTAGCTCCACTTGCGCACTCCCATCAAGGCTGAGTTCTTTGTGGTGCCGGGTATCTCCCTCAGTAGTCCCTCTATTCCTCCTTCCCTCCCAATTAAATGAAAGCTCTGGCATGTAGGTATGTGGACTCTTTTCGAGGTGCCCCAAGGCCTGCGGCCCTCTTCCTGTATTGTGAAGTCCACACCCTCGGCTCCACAGAATAAACGCTCCATCTGGCCTCACCCTGGCCTGCCTGCACACCCTCGTTTAACAGGTGGTGCCCAGGCAGGCTCTGGGCGGCAGACATGGAGCACAGCAACAGCGGATGCTGGAGGGACCTACCCCGCTGCGCCCCACGACTGGCCTCCAAGCCCCAGAGCACCAGCCCGGCAGAGCCCCCACCTCATCTGGGGCGAGCCCCAGGGTGCTCAGGCATGGAGGCACCATTGGGTAGGGTGCCCTGTTGCTGCAGACGCCGCAGTTGCCGGAGGGGCCTTGGGGCATCTGAGTCTGAGCTGGGCTCTGTGTTATCCAGAGACGCTGAGAGCTGAGACTCCTCCAGCTTCTCTGCAACCAATTGCAGTGGGACCGTCAGATGGTGGTGGGTGGGGCGCGGGAGGTGCTGAGGAGCTGTTCACCTGCCTATCCTCGTGGGCCTGTCATACCTGGTACAAACCGAGCAGGGTGCAGAAGAGTACGTGCGTGGTGCTTAGCCACCTGCTGCAGGCCCAGGTGCGCTTGGGGCTGCAGCTGGAGCAGGCCTCAGATCAGGCCCTGGCACTCAGTACCAAGTAGGAGCACTGGCTGTTCTGGTAGGTCTCTTGCACCTGCCAGACTCCCACCCACCTGCACCTGCTGTTGCCCCAAGGAGGGGCTGTCCAGGCACCGGACTGGGGTCTCAGGATGGGGTTGGGCCCGATCATAACGGTCCCTGGTGGGGAAGGGTGCAAGCCTGGAGCGGGCAGGATGGGGACAGGTTGGCCCCGGGGTCCCTTCCCACCACATTTAGGTGCTTGTAGGCAACACTGAGTGACAGGGTCTCACGGGCAGGAACTAGCGGGAGAGCCTGTGGGACCTCAGAGGTGGAGATGGCCTTGATAGCTGCTTGCAGGGATTGGGGGTGGCCCCTGTGGGGAGACCACAGTCCCTTGGGGCAGGATGCGGCGTGAGGGGCCTCTGTTCTTTGTGCTCGCTGTGGAACTTGGCTGGGCCAGGTAGGGTTGGCAGCATCTTTGGGGGCCAGCACTGACCCCCCTCATCGAAGAACTTATATGTTCGGGGCGTCCAGAAACAGAGAGTGATCAGCCTGCAGGAGGCTTGGCCCTCAGGGAGGTTGTGGGACCAGGAGGGAGCCAGAGGCCCTGAGGGGTGCCTGAGTGGAGTTAGGACAGGGGCCACTGGGGCTGGGCTAGAGGGGGGGCCCATGGGGAGGAGGCAGGCCGACCTCACCATGGTACAGTGTTTGAGTCGCAGGTTAGAGGCCAGCTTTGAGTTGTGCCACATGTGCTCTCGCATGGCATAGGTCGGGCAGACTTTGGGGAAGGCCCCAGAGCCAGTCTTCTTGGAGGAGAGCAGGTAGCCCTTGTCCCTGCATTCACGCATCTGCTCCATGAGGGTTTTCTAGTCCGGTTTTTGCTGCCACTGCCCTTCATGGAGGGCAGGGCACTGCAGAAGAGGGTGGGGCCGTCCAGTTCACTGCAGGGTCTTGGGGAGGGGGTTGGGAGGCACGGCTGAGGCCTGACTTGTGTTAGAGGGGCAGGGGTGATGGGGCTGCAGGAGGCCAGTTGCACCCCCTCAAGGCTGCTGCCCAGTTTCTGAATTCTTGCTGGGACGGGCTGAGAGCTCAGGGTGGGAGGCTAACCCAGCCACACAAGCATGAACTGGCCTGGGGGAGGGCAGGGTCTGGGAAAGCAGGGGCAGGTTTTCGAGCCATACCTGCATTGTGCCCTTGAAGGGGCTGTCCTGTCCCCCAGGACTTGCTTGCTCTGAAAACATCTTGCTGGAACCATTCCTGCCCTGCATGGGTCCCACTTGGTATGGTGAGAACCCTAAGGGCTGGAGCCAGGGTGAGGCCTCTTGGGCCATGAAAGGCCTTTAAAGAAGCTGGCATGTGGGGGAGCCACTCAGCCTTCCTCAGCTGGGGAGTGAAGCTTCTGCTCAGGCTTTCCCCTGGAGCTCTCTGCACACTTGATATTTCCCCAGGCAAGCGAAGATCTGCAAGGGCCTACCTCAAACCTCCAGCTCCAGGAGGGAGGAGCCAACATGTCCCCTCCTGTCTCCTGGGCCCTGGAGTCCTGTGGGTGCTGTTATGCTGGGGAGTAGCCGCCTACTGTTTGCTGAGTGCCTGCCATGGGCCAGGTGCTGTTCAAAGCGGTCCTAGGAGCTGCAGCCGCCCCTCCTGCAGTCTGCTTTTGTTCACAGTTATGCCCCATGTGCCTGTCCTGTGGTAGACGGTTCACACCCAGGATTTCAAATCTGAGCACCACCAAGTGATACCCCTTTTATAGATGGCACACATGGGGCCCAAATTCATGGTATCTCTTCTGTGAGCTGGATGCACAGTGGCTGTGAGCTTGGCTTGTCTCCCCGGGATTCACGGTGGGTGAGGTATTACTCCCAGTGCAGGGAGAGCCTCAGAGTACTCGCTCGTGAACGAGTAAGACACATCTCATCCCCGCTGGATTGTGAGCTTCTTGAGAGCGGGCTTGTGTTTGATGCTCCCTTGCTCCCCTATAGCCCCGTTCTGGCAAATTGTCTGGAATATAGACAATATGGACAAACTAATTGGTTTGTTGCTGACTTGAGGTTTAGGAAAATAGAAACTGCTCCAGGTATTTCAAGCGGAGGGGCTTTAACTTGGGATAGTTACTCAGGTGTTACTTAGGCTGGAGAGTGCCATGTCTAAGCTGGAGCAGCAAAAGGGAAAACCATGGGGCTCCGGCCAAGGGTGGCTGTGCTGTGCCCCCCTCACTTTCCTGGCTCCCACCAGTATCAGAACACAACTGGAAGCCAGTGACTGTTGCCTGGGCAGATGACAGGCAGGATCCAGAATGATCACCAGCTCTGTCCACCTTCCTCTTCCTCTGCACCCTGGCTCATCCAGCTACTTCACGGCGCTTCGCTGAGTGCCTGCCAAGTACTGGGCTTGGTGCTGCGCCCTTGGGAGCAAATCACAGACGGGCCTTTCTCTCACAGAGCTTGCCGTTGTGGAAGGGAGATTAGCCTTCAGAATTTAATCAAAGTTGAAAGACGGCTGTGACCTGTGCTGGGGCAGCTTGTTTGCTTGGCGGGTGAAGAAACCGAGCTGAGGCTGGGGATGGGCAGGGCCAGCCAGCTGGGCTTGCTAGGCACTGGCCATGGGAACTAAGGGAGAGTGAGCCGTCCAGGTCCAGGTGTGAGCTTGGAAAAGGCCTCCTGCCTCCTTCCCTGGCAACTTCCACATGCCTGGGCTCACCCCTCCCCCTCCTGCCTGTGGGGAAATCTGGGGTGGGTGGGGGTGGGGCTCTTCCTGAGGGGCCAGACACCATCTGCTGAGGACCGCACTCCCTTCGCCATCCGAGTTCTCTCTTTTGGTTTGAATCCCTGCAACAGAAACAGGCTGAAGCCTTTCTCTGTGAAAGAATGCCCCCACCTCCCAGGCACTACTCAGTTGCCACCCTACCCTGGTGTTTAATATTTACTTATTTACTTTTTATATTGTCTTTTTTGGGGGGAAGGGGGAGTAATTAGGTTTACTTTTATTTATTTACTTCTTTTTAAAGGGATGTACTGGGGATTGAGCCCAGGACCTTGGGCATGCTAAGCATGCACTCTGCCACTGAGCTGAAACCTCCCGCCCCAGTGTTTAAACTTATGCCCCTACTTTGCCTCCTTGCACCCCAGCCCACAGCTCTCCGCAGTCCCAGCAAGTTGCACACATCTGTTAGTGCTGCCAACCACTTACTTCTCAAATCGCTCTTTTCACTTCCTGAACTTCTGAAACACCACTCACTCCTTGATTTTTTGGTTTGTAAACATGTCCAGGCAATTTCAGCCTTGGGGCTTTGCACGTGCCAGTGTGTCTCTGCCCGCATCTCGGGCTCCTCTCTCAGCTTCTGCCTTTCTCAGCCTCTAGCTGCGACCCCTCAGAGCACTTCGTGTGGATTTTAGTCGTTTACTTGTTTATAATATGCCTCCTCCAGATTCCAAGGTCCAGAATGCAGACACCTGCTCATCTTCATTCCCACGGCCTGTTAGCAGACTGAACGTGTGCCTCCCGGGTGCACGTGTGTACCTGTTTGCAAGGACACGGTGGCCTCGGGGTCCCTGGGATGTTTGTTGGGTGTTCAGGGCGTGTTCATGAGTGAGAGATAGAGGGCATGACAGAGCCCGTGTGTGTCCAGATTGGGGGCACCTGGCGTGTGTACCTGGACAGGTATGTGTTTGCGAGGGGACCTGCTTTGGGCGCCTTGGCGGGCGGAACCCACGTCCCCAGTGCGTCCCGCGGTGTGTGGCGCGGGGTCTGTGTGCGGGGATCGTGGAGTGTAAGTGACGGACCGGGACACAGCGGAATGGGAAGGGGGGGGGCCTGCTCCCGCGCCTGCGCAGTGGCCAGTCCCGCCTTGCGGCCCACACGGCGGCGGTCCTCGCGCCCAACGGTCAGGTGTGCGGGTCACTGGGCGGCTGGGGGCGGGGCCGGGCACGAGGTGGAGTTTGCGCACTCCGGCTCTCTTGGGTTCGGTGGGCGGGGCGGAGAGATCGAGAGGGAGGCCCCTCCGACCAATGAGCTCGGAGATCGGGTGGGGGCGGGGCCGGACGGCCGCAAGCCGGGCCGCGGTTGGCGGAGGGCGGCGGGTCGGGCTCGTCGCGTGGCCCCGCCCGCCCCGGTCCACGGCAGGCGGGAGGGCGGCTCCCCGGCAGCTACTGCGGCGGCCCCTCAGGTAAACGGCGGTTGGGATCTGGGGGCCGGGGCCAGGGGGCCAGGGGACGGCTGTGCTCTCTCGGGGAGGTGCCCCTCGGGGGAGCCTGGGTCGCAGACCCTTGGGCCGCCCCCTTGGCTAGGCCGCGTGGGAAGCCGAGTCAGGGGGCGCCTCTCCAAGGTCACCCGGAGAGCAAAGGGAGGGTCCCGGCGTCGCGGGGCCGAGCCCGCCCCTTCCCTGGGCTCAGGTGCGTCCAGCCCCGCGCGGAGCGGGATCTGCCGCGTCACAACCCGGAAGAGAGGCCTGGGAGCCTAGCCGGTCACATTCTTCCTGACGCCTGGTCCCCGAGTCCGTCCCCTCCCAGGGTGGGACGCGGGGCGCCTAGTCCCCCTGCCCAACCCTTTCCAGGGTGGGGCTCAGATAACCCATCCCTACCCCTCCGCCCCGCCTGCCCCTCCCAGGGTGGGGCTCAAGGTACCTGGTCCCCTGTGCCCACCCCCTCCCTGGGGGGCACTGGGTCGCCAGTCCTAGTGCCTGTCACTTTCCGGAGGCGTGTGGTCCACGTTCCTGCTCCCCCAGCAGGCACTTCAGGGGTCGCCTCCATGGGAAGCTAAGCCTAGTCCCAAAGAGCAGAGGCCGACCTATGCTTCTCATTTTCTCTTTGACATTAGAGGAGGAGGCAGTCCAGAGCAGGGAGGTAATTTGTCCAAAGTCCTGAGGATTTCTGGTCGTGTAATGTAGGTGGTAAAGCTGGAAGGGGCTGCAGGAAGTCCAACCCTCAGTCAAGGTGAGACCTAGCTGGTGCTAGGCCAGGGCTGGCCCACAGTCCCTGGCCTCCTAGGCCCAATTTTGGGTTCTGATTTTCCTGCAGCACCAGCATAGCTGCAGTGCAGTGCTGGGGTCTGAGAAAAGGGCTCTGTGTGCACAGGCAGTTCCAACCTGCATACTTAAGAGGGTCCCCTTTGCCAGGGTCGGGACTGGGTGACTGATAAGCTCAAGTGCAATGAGGCATAAGGGGGTGTGGGGGCAGAGGGTGCTGGGGGGTATAAGCTGGAGTGGCTGTCTGGGGTGGGGGGATAGGTGGGATTAGGGTGGAAGCTGGCTTTGAGGAGACAGTCCTGGGGGCAGTGACCACTTTGGAAAGGGATGAAGGTAGAGGTGGAGAAGAAGGGGGTCAGTGAGTGACTGTAGGGTGTGGGGAGGGAGACGGAGGAACAGGAGGGAGTGATGCTGACTTCGGACCCAGGTAGCTGGGGGCATGATGACATAGGAAAAGAGGCAGGTGAGTCAGGGACCTGAGAGAAGTCAGGGGTGAAGTTGGTGGATTGAGTGTTAGAGCCTTTGGGTTGAGTGGTGATGATGGCCCAGATGTAGGGGGCTGGCAGGCACGGGGCCCCAGGAGACCCACCTGAGAAGCATCAGTTGTGGGCCACTTGGCCGGTGGCGTGATTGTGATGTAGTTGCCCTGCGGTCCAGACAGCCAAGGGGCCTGGGGACGCTGTTGTCAGCAGGATCCTGGTTCCCAGGCCTCGGCTATTGTGGCTCAAGTGAGCATGCGTTTTTGGTCTCTCTTGGTGACAGCATGGAATGACCTGGAGTTGAGCTGAGTTGGTTACCTTGAAACCAACGTCTTGGCTGAGGATCACTGGTGGACCTGAGGTGGAACCGTGGGGCACTTGCTTGCTTTCTCAAGTTCACAGCTGGCTCACATGCCTGGAAGCAGGTGTCTGCGCTTGGTTCAGACCCAGAGTCCACTGAGGCCCAGGGAAGCAGCTGGGTTGTTGCCCATCTGTGATCAGCCCCTTCATGGAGCTGAGCTGCTTGATCTGCTCGGGTAGGGACTCCAGGAAGGCTCCTGGCCAGTGCTCAGGGAAAGCTGGCTGCTGGACGTCATGAGGAAGGTGCCCTCTTCACTGGAGGCACCTGGTTGGGGGGACATAGCTTGGTGTGGCTTATGTTGGGAACTTGGATTCTCAAGGGACTGTGAGCTGTGTGGGCTGTCTGCTTGGTCATCTGCCCTGTTTTTGTCAGTGACTCTGGGAGTTGATTCTTTGGCTCCTGTGCTAGGAAGGAAGGCCCCTGGGCCTCGTGTTTGGGCCTCGTGCCTGGGTGGGACATTCCTATGACCCCCATGGTGTCCTGACTTCCCAGTTTCCCTTAACACACTCTCTGGACAGGCTGCCTCTGGGCTGGGGGTGTGGCCCTCATGGTCTCTGACCCCTCCAGCTCAGTAAGGTTGGCCCCGCACCTTTCTCTGCCTGTGCCCGTCCATGTGGCAGCTGTTGTACGCGTGGCCCTTTCAGGCCAGGGGCTCTGTGGGCTGGGGCGGCAGCACGTGGGCATTTGTTCAGTGCAGTTGAGTGAATGCTGACTGAGTACAGGTGAGGAGGAGGGGGAGGCTTCCTCACTGGCCTACAGTGTGTACGGTCACCCTGCTCTGTGACCTGTGCTCATGGGCATCATGGGTGGGCGTGGAGGGAGTGCTTGGAGCCAGTCCTGCTTGAGTCCTGCTCCACTGCTTCCCAGCTGCTAACAGCTGCTCTCAGACCTGCCTGGCCCTGCAGGTGAAAGGAGATGGTACCTCTAAGTGCTTCCTGAGGGAGGCAGGGGGCCTTCCAGACCCTTCCCTCTCTTTGCATCCCCTTCCCCTGTGGAGCACTCACAGATTTGTCTGTCCACTCCACAGGGAGCAGGGTCTGTGCTGCCACCCCGGTGTGTCATCAGCCCACAGACCAACTGCCTGGCCCAGGCGGGGGCCACAGAGGGACTCTTACCGAACCGGTGAAGCCTAGCTCTTCCACCGTGGCTGATACTTCCCTGGCTACTGCCTCTCCCCATGCTTGTCTTTTAAAAAGTCTAACCAGATCCCTGGTAGATGTAAGTGTTGTTCATACATGGCTGTTGCCCTCACTTGAGGCCTCCTGCAGGAGGGTGTCGGGAGGTGGGTGATCCTGTCGTGAAGAGTGACCATTTGGGCTCCACTGGCTGTCCCCACCTGCATGGGCCCACAGCACTGGCGGCGTCTGGTGCCGGCGGAGGGCAGCTGTGCGCCGGGCCTCCGCCCAGGCCTCCCGCTGGGGACGCAGGGAGAGCCCGGTGCCTGCGCGCTGCCCGCGTTGCTGTGCATCTTGCTGACGTGGACGGGCCCCTTTGCATGTTAATATGAGACAGATGCGCCTCTTGTCCTATCTATCATGAATGACTTGCCTGTTTTATCTTTTGTTTACTTTACGCCACACTGAGGTTGGGGTGAGCATGAGCGTGCAGGCTGGTGGGCAGAGGCTGGATTCCGGGGCAGCAGTGGAGACTGCTGCGCAGTGGTGGGCATGATGTGACCTGTGTGTGACAAAGAGCAGCGCATCAGCGTAGGGGAAGTGGCCAGAGAGTGAGGGTTAGGTGAGGTGGCCACCAGGGGAGACTCTCAGTGAGGGAGCAGGCCACCTGCTGCCCGGTAGGAAGGGTCGAAGGGGGCAAGGAGGGGGACGACGGAGGGCCTGCCGTTTATCACCGTGTGTCTGTCACTGTTCAGTTGTCACTCGCATCACCATGTGTCCGTCACTGTCCAGTTGCCACTCGTGTCACTGTGTATTCAAAAAGCAGTTCTCGGAGGAATTTCAGTTTATCAGGTTTCTCTTTTGTAGATTTTGCTTTTGGTGTCAGTCATGGAGACTTGCTTCTATGTTTCTTTCTGGAAGTTTTATAGTTTTAAGTTCTACATGTAGATCTGTGAATCATTTGAGATTTTGTGTATGGTGTGAGCTATAGACTGGAGTTTACTTTTTCGTGTGGACATCCAGTTGTTCACTACTATTTGTTGAAAGACTGTCCCTGCTGCACTCAGTCGCCTTTGTACTTTTGTTGGAAATCAGTTGGTCTAATAAGTCTTGGAGTCAGGACTTACAAATGTAAGTCCTCCAATTGTGCCTTGTTTTGCTTCAGAGTTGTCTTGGCTATTCTAGGTCCTTTACATTTCCGTATGAATTTTAGAATCACTCTGTCAATTTCTACAGAAAGCCTGCTAGGATTTTGATTGGGAATGCATTCAGTCTGTAAATCCACTTGGGAAAAATTGATATCCTTGTGCAGTATTTTTCTCCATTTATTTAACTTTTCTTTAATATCTCTTAGCGCTGTTTGATAGTTTTACTGTATTGTCCATCTTTTGTCGAATTTATCCCTAAATATTTCATACTATTTTTGCTCAATGGCAAAGGGTACAGCTTGTTAAATTTTTGATTGTTGTTAGTATATGGAAATGCAATTGATTTTTGAATATTAACTTCATTTATTATTATTATTTTTTAAATGGAGGTGCTGGGGATTGAGCACAGGACCTTGTGTGTGCTAAGCATGCACCCTACCACTGAGCTATACCGTCAACCTAACATTAAGTTTATATCCTGTGACCTCACTAGCTGACTTACTGATCTGGTTCCAGTTGTAGATTCCGTCAGATTTTCTGCAGAGATGATCACATCACCTGTGAATAAAGCAGTTTTTCCTCTTTTTCACTTTGAATGCTTTATATTATTTTATGCTTACCTGATTGCCTAGGCTAGAGCCTCCAGTAGGAGAGTGAATAGAAGTGGTGAGAGCAGACATCCTTGCCTTGTTCTCCATCTTGCAGGGGTAGCAGTTAGTCTTTTACCATTAAGGATGATGTCCCTTCAGGTTTTCCTTAGGTGCTCTTGATCGGGTTGTGGGAGTTCCCTTCTATTCCTGTTTGCTGATCATTTTTATTATAAGTAGATGTTGGATCGTGACACATGCTTTTTTTGCTTTTATTGAGATGATTATATGGTTTTTCTTCTTTGGTCTGTTAATATGATTTACATTGACTGCACTTAAAAATACTCCAGCAACCTTGTGTTCATAGGATAAACCCCATTTGGTCATAGTGTATTATCGTTTCACATATTGTTGCATATGATTTGATAAAATATTGTTAAGAAATTTTGCATTTGTGTCTATGAGGAATATTGGTCTGTATTTTTCACTGTTTTTAATATCTTTGTCTGGTTTTGTTATCAGAGTGGTGCTGGCCTTAAAGAATCCGTTGGTAAGTGCTCCTTGTTTTCAGTTTTCCGGGAAGAATTTTTGTGGCGTTGGTATTATTTCTTCCGTAAGTGTTTGCTGGAATTCCCCTGGGAAGTCATCTCGCCCTGGGGTTTTCTTGGTGGGGAGGCTTTTAACTATAAGTTCAGTTTCTTTCTTAGATACAGGGCTGTTTAGATTACCTGTTACTTCTTGAGTGAGCTTTGGTAGTTTGTCATTCGAGGAACTTGCCTATTTCTTTCATTTTTAAATTTTTATAATTTTTGAGGTACAATTGACTTGTCTATTTTAAGTTATCCAATTTTCTGGCAAAAAGTTTTTCAGAATATATTCTTATTATCCTTTTAAAATCTGTAGAATCTGTAATGATGTCACTGTTCTCATTCTTAAGATTGGTAATTTGTTTTTTCTTTTTTTCTTAATCAGTCAGGCTGGAGGTTATCAAATTTATGGATCTTCTCAAATAACTAAACTTCGGTAGTTTGATTTTTTTTCTATTCTCTGTTTTCTATTTCTTTAATTTACATAATGATATTTATTATTTCTTTTCTTTTGCTTCATTTGAATGTCTAGTTTCTTCAGGTGGAAGTTGATGTTGTTGACCTTCAAACAAAAACAGTTATTTTACCAGCAAAATGTGTTTATTTGGGAGTAGCAGAGAATTTCAATCTGTGACAACCAGGCTATAGCAAAAACTATAGGCAAGTCCAGCAAACAAAGGAAAGAAAGTCACTTTATAGAGAGCAGGAGGAAGTTGAAAGGGGCTGCTTTGAAGAAAGTCCTTTGGAGGAAAGTGAGAATTTAGGATGGTGATGGCTTTCCATTGTCTGAGTTGCGAGGGTTCCCGTTGTCTGGGCTTGTTGCTGGGCAGGGAGAGATCTTCCTCCTCCTGCCAGGCTCCTAAAGTGGAGACACCTGCCTGCTGGGAATGCAGGTCCTGTCTCTTCCTGTGGGTCTGTAATTCGCCTGGAGCGGTAATGCGTGGGAGCCTCCCCGCTCCCTGTTAAATGAGGTTTCTTTTATTCAGATTCACAGTGTCACTCTACTTTCCTAATACAGACATTAGTGCTATAAATTTCCCACAAATTTTGATATGTCTTCATTTTCTTTCCCTTCAAAATGCTTTCTAATCTCATTTAAAATTTTTTTCTTTTTTGACTCATGCATTATTTTGAAACATGTTAAGTAGTTTCTAAATACTTGGAGAGTTCTCAGATAGCTTCCTCTTACTAATTTCAAATTGAATTCCGCTGTAGTCAGAGAACATACTCTGTATGACTTGAATTCTTTTAAATTTATTGAGACTTGATCAGTCTTGGTAAATGCTTCATGTGCTTTTGGAAGAATATACATGTTCTACTGATAATGAATGTAGTGTTCTGTAAATACGACTCACGTAGGCTGGTGGACAGCGCTGTTCAGGTCTTCCCTTACTGGTTTGCTGTACATTTGTTCTAACAATTACAGAGAGAGGGAGTTGGAATCTCCGCTGCATTTTGAATTAGTCTGTTTCTCCTGGCATCTTTATTACTTTTGGCTTTGTGTATTTTGAAGCTCTGTTATTAGGTGCATAAATATTTAGAATTGTTATGCCTCTGAAATCTGCAGTGTCTATTATTAATATAGTCATTCTAGCTTTTTATGACTAGTGTCAGCCTCATTTTTCTTTCCCCATCATTTACTTTAACCTCTTTGTATTAACATGTTCAGTCTCTCCTGGGGTTTCTTGAATATATGAAATTCAATTATACTAATTGTCTAAATGTCCTTGTTTACTAATTCTTTCCTCTGTGCCATTTCTGAGTCAGTTTGTACCAGGTGACCCTTTGTCACGGTGGAGGCTGTGGACTGTGTCTTCTTCCTGCTTTGCATGCTTGGTAGTTTCTGACTGGATGCCGGACATCACTGTCTCACTTTGTCAGCGCTGGATGCCTCTGTGTTCCTGTTACTATTCCTGAGCTTTGTTCTGGGTTGTGACTAAGTTACTGGAGAACCGTTTGATCCTTGTAGGTCTTGCTTTTTAGCTTTGTTGGCTGAGACCAGAATAGTATTTCTTCTAGGGCTAATTTTACTTCTTTACTGAGTGAGCTTCCCATTGCCCTGTGAGTTGGGATGTCCCTCCTGGCTGCCGGGGCTGGGAGCAGACCCGCTCCTGGCCCCTGGTGAGCTCTGGGGATTGTGTTCTGCTAATCCTTTTGGTGGCTCCTTCCTTGGCCTCAGGGAGTTTCTTCTCAAACCCAGTGTTTGTACTGGTTTTCTATTGCTGCTGTAACAAATTACCACACACTTAGTGGCTTAAACAACAGACATTCATTATCTTTAAGTTCTTGAGGTCAGAAGTCTGACCTGGATCTCACTGGGCTAAAATCAGGGGTTGGCAGGACTGTGCTCCTTTCTGAGAGCTCTGGGGAGGATCTGTTTTCTACTGTTTCAGTTTGTTGGCAGAATTTGGTTCTTTGTGGCTGTAGGACTGAAGTCCCTGTTTTCTTGCTGACTGTAAGCTGAGAATTGTTCCCACCTTCTATGAGTGACCCACATTCCTTGGCTCAGAGCTGCCTTCCTCCATCTTCAAAGCCAGCCACAGTGGCTTGAGTCCTTCCCGAGCTTTGATTTTCTCCCACTTCTTCCATCTCATCTCTGTGACCCAGCTGGGAAAGGCTCTCTTCTCTTCAGAACTCATGTGATGAGGCTGGTCTCACCCTCATGATCCGGGGTAACCTCTCCATCTCAGGGTTGGTAAGTCCATTTGCCAAGTAAGATCACATATTCAGGGTCTGGGAATGAGGGCGTGGGCATCTTTGGGGACATTATTCTGCTGCCCAGTGCTGGCCAGTAAATCAACTGTGTGTCCAGGGGACCCTCTGCCAATCTCTGGAGTTTACTATGTTCCTAGAGCCGCCAACTCCAGCAGGACCCAGGTCTCCTGAGATGCTTCTAGACCATGTCCATGACACAGGCGTGTTGCCGGGCCTCCCAAGCCCTTCTCAGCTGGGTGCGGCCTCCAGGGGGTGAGCTGAAGTGACCTCAGGGTTCCCCTTCCTTTGTTTCCTGATGTCCATCTCCTTGAGAACCACGGTTTCACGTGTTTTGTCCAGTTTGGGTTGATTTGGTCGGAATGGCAGGTCGGTCCATTTTTCCCCACCAGGCTGGGAGCTGACGTCTCTTACGTTAGTTTCTTTTTGTTTGCTCCCATTGAGCTGGGTGCACTTGGGTGAAGGGTGTTCCAGACCTGCAGAGTTGGAGCTGGTTTCCTGAGGCCGTGGAGAGAGGCAGCTGTGGCTTTTCACAGGGCAAAGCCTCTGCCCAGGAGTGGGCTGCTTCCGTGTGGACTCGATGGGCTCTGGGAGCTCGGGACCTGGGTTCCACGTGAGGCTGTGCCTGCCTCTGAGAGCTGCTCTGCAGTTCCTCCTGAGCCGGCTGCCAGCGCACCTCAGCCCTTCATCTTTTTGGGCTTTGCGATTTCTTGCTGCCGTCTTGCTCTGCTGCCGTTGGAATATGTGTGTTATTCTTGTTTTCCTGGTTGTTTTAGATGCTCCAGGAAGGAAGGGAAACACCTTGCTGGCATCGCTGTCTTCTAGCCTGTCTTCTCTGTTTGCTTTCTGTCCAACTGGAACACCTGGAAACTTCCAGGCTGCTAATTTTATCTTTCCCTATGTTCTAGTGCTCTTTTGTGTTTATTCCTTTAAAACATGCATCTTTTCTGTCATTTCATTGAGGTTTTGGTGGGATAGGTGAATGCTTGGGACCAGTCTGCCTTCCTGACCTAGAATTCTCACTTCTTTTTAATTCTGCCGCCTCCCAGGAATCACATGACTTCTCACTCTGCCTCCTTCCTGTGTGTCCACAGCCATGTGAACATGTCCTGCATGCTTGGGAGCAGATCATGGCAGCGCTCCTTTACCATCTCCACCGTCCTGTGGGCGGGCGAAGGGCAGTGCGCTGCAGCAGGCAGGACATAAGTGTGAACACAGTCAGGTCCTCAGAGAGTGTGGCCACATGGTGAAGAGGGGGGGTGTTTGCACATTTCATGGGCTCTATTCTTTGGGTCTGTCTGTTGCAAGTGGAGCTTCGAGGCTTGGGGTGTTTGAAAGCTGTAGCTCTCGAATCCCGTGGGCTGTTTGCATGGTTGGTTTCAGATGCCAGCAAGCCCGCTGGGTCCCTGTGCTGCCCGGCCAGGCTCTCTCCGCCGGCAGGAGGCTCACTGAATCCTGTGCTGGGATTCTTAGGTGTGGGGAGTCCTGGCCCCGCAGCAGTCGAGGCCCTTGTCCTTGTCCTCAGGGAGAGGTGTTCCTGCTCTGCACAGACTGGCAGCAACACTAGGCCCTGTGTCCGCCCTCTGCCCTTCACGGAGGGCAGGAAGGTGCTGTCGGTGGACATAGTGACCACACTTGCCCAGGCTACCGCGGGGCATCTGGGATGGCCCTGTGGGCTGTCCGTGTGCTGGCGGGGCTACTGGGCGCTGGGAAGTAGTCCTTTGTCCTCCGAGAGTGGTTGAGCCAAAGTGTGGCAGAGACAGTTGCCCCAGAACAGAGTCATTTGAATCTTGTGTTTTACACACACATAGTATAGTACCTGCCCGTACATGGAAGAGGCTTATGCATTAAAGGCAGCGTTTTGGTTGCTCCAGGTTTGAGAAGAGCTGTCCATGTTCACACCGGGCGAGCGGAAGCCGAGACCACAGTGATGGGCGAGTCACGTGTGAAGAGTAAGTGCGGGGCTCTCAGGCGGCCTCCATGTCACACCTGCTGGCTCTTGAGTTTGGGATGCAGAGGAGCCTGTGGCATTGAGTAAATGGGGTTTGAAGGAATGACAGTGCACGAACACTTTCTCAAGTTTTCAATTAAAAAAAAAAAGAAAACAGAGCACTGTTTATGCAGATGCTGACACAGAGGTGGCAAATTCGGCCACAGGCTCAGTCTGGTGTGGGGGACAGCCTTTGCTTAGCACACAGGGCTTCGTGCTCCACGTGGGAGAGTCCCTGTGCCTTCGTCCCTTCCTCCAAAAGCCCTACGGCCAGCATCCCCTCTGCCTGGCCAGTCTTCCCCCAGCCAGGGCCAGCTGTTTGCTGAGGGTGTGGCCCATGGCAGAGCGGAGGCCGGGGAGCTGTGTCCCTGCCCCACAGGACTCCATCCCCAGGGGTGAGGGAGGCTCTGCAGGCCGCTGCCAGGCACCGAGCCCTGAGCTCTCAGCACACCGAGGATGGTGGGGTCCTTCCATGGGGTGTGAGGCAGAAGAGGCCTGGCTCCGAGTGGGAGAGTCTGGGGTGATGAGGAGGGGTCTTCAAGAGCTGCTGGTGGGACTGGCATGCCGCCCAGCAAGCATAGAGCAAAGTGTGGGCCAGAGGACCACCTTGGAGGCAGCTTCCCAGGAACCCTGAGCCTTTACCCTCTGCCTTTCATAGGAGCTCCTGTCCAGCAGGGGCAGCAGACATGGAGCAAACACAGCCTGGGTTGTAAGGTCTGGGTAGAGGTGAGGGGAGTGACCTCAGAGCAGGCGGCCCTTGGGTCCTAGAGACCCTGGCAAGTGAAGTGGAAGGAGGGAGTGGGTTACGAGACTAGGTCAGGTGTGCGTGGCTGAGGTGTGCGAAGTGGCCCAGCTGGTGGGGCCCTGAGGCATGCGAAGTGGCCGGGGTCCGAGGACTCAGAGGCTGAGCATGACGGTGGTGGCGTCAGTGCTGGGCCTGAGCACCCACACCGGGCTTTTTCGTGCAGAGCTGGCCACAGTCCTGCTGGACGCCATCACTGACAAGGACCCTCTGGTGCAGGAGCAGGTGTGTGGCTCCCTGTGTGCCCTTGGAGAGTCTCAGCCTGAGGAGGCACTCGGCGCCTGTGAGGAGCACCTGCGGCAGCATGACAAGGTATCCCTGCCCTTCCAGGGCAGGGCTATGGGGGCTGCGGGGGCTGCGGGGGCTGTGGGGAGGAGTCTGTGGGTGGGACATGCAGGGTCTGGTGGGTGTGGAGCCGACCAGCCGGGCTGCTGTGGGCAGAAAGCAGCACCTGCAAGTCCAGGCTCCCTCGAGGCCAGCATGTCCAGGGTAGACGAGCTGCCCTGTGGCCTGGGGGCCAGTCCCATAGAGAGAGACCGGGTGGTCAGCACCACAGGGTCCAGCCGCTCGCTCGCAGGCCCGGTGCTGCTGTCCCCTTTCACTCTCCTGCCAGAGACTACATGGCTGTCCCTGCCAGTGAGAGAAGGCCACTGGCATCAGCAGTGCTGGAGCCCGTGGACAGGCCTTGGGGAGGGGCTGTGCCCGGCAGCCTGGGCCTGGGCTCCCAGCGCTCCTGCAGACTGCCAGCGGTGGGCGCGGCCACTCGCAGGCTTCCTCTTCGGCTCTGCGGAGCCCGGCCCTGCAGAGGTGGCTGAGCGCCCACCCATCGCAGAAGAGGCTCCTGCCAGCTGCCTTTCTCCAGGGCCCTGGCTCCAGGCTCCTGTGACACTGACAACTCCCTGTCGTAGGAAATAATCCTGCAGCCTTTCAGTTTTCCTCAGGGCGTGGTTTAGGCCCATTCCTGGAAGGAAAGGAGACTTGCAGTCTCAAAAGATCACTTTTCTTTTTGTTTTATTTGACACTTTGATGACTAAAAGGGGCTCTCTCTGCAGTGTGTTCGCTCCCCTCTGCAGCTGCCACCTCCTGGGGGAGAGAGCCCAGTCCTGCTGTGGCCCTAGGACGTCTCCCTTCGTGCAGAGGGTACTCCTTCCCCCCCGGCTGCCCTGCTGTTCTTGGCCTTTGCAGGTTGCACTGAAGGCTGGGACTGCTACAGGGCTGTGGGTAGGGAGGCACGGTTCACAGATTAGCCAGGAAGGGCATGTCCACCGCGGCTCCCCTTTGGACTCGCAGTGCCCCTGCTGGGCGTCGGGGCGGGCCATGCTGAAGTCCATGTCTGACTGGCGGACGGAGATTAGGGCTGCCCTAGCTGTTTGAGGGAATGGCCAACAAAGAGGAAAGGTGGCTGAAAGAAGGTTTGTTATTTTTAGCAGTTCACAGCAAAATTGAAGTCTGCTTCATGAAAACTTGTTATTTTCTATGTCATTTATGACTTTACCCTCTTTTTAGCCTTTTTAGTTTCTTTAACCAGCTTTATAAGCAAAGTTCCTTATGTTTATAGTAAACGTGTGTTGTTGGGAGCTGTCCTTAGAGCATAACCCTTGTTGGGCACCCTCTGCCTCTGCCGCCTCGTCCACACTCTGTGACCGGGGGCTTCTGCCCCTCACTTGTGCTTCTTCATAACTATACTGTATCGGCTGCATCTTAGCCGATTGAGTCTCTCTCCAAAAAGATGTGGGCCCACAGAAAAGAGCTAAACACTCCATCTGGTCCTCAAAGGTGGGGCAGCAGCTTGAAAGCCCGCGATACTTTGTGGATATCAGCTTCTGGCGGCTTCTGCTGCCGCCCGGGGCACTGGGGCACCTTTGCTCTCCAGCAGCTGGACCTGGTCTGTGCTCCTGGGTGGTGGCGGGCCTCACTCCTGTTGGCTGAGGCTCAGCATGGAAGAGGTGGACACAGGGACAAACAGGCTGCTTCACAGAGACTGTCAGGCCAGTGGGTGGGAAGTGGCCTCGAGAAGAGTGGCAGAGAGAGCTGCTTAGTCTGCCCAGGCCTTTGTGACAGAACGCCACAGGCTGGATGGCTTACAGACAGCAGGCCTGTTCCTCATGGTTCTGGAGGCTGGGAGTCCTAAGATCAGGGTGCTGGAAGATTCAGTGCCTGGTGAGAGCCTGCTTCCCCCGAGTCCTCACCTGACAGAAGGGGTGAGGGAGCTCCCTGGGATTTCCTTCCTGAGGGCACTAATCCCATTCCCCAGGGCTCCCCGTTACAGCCTGATCCCTCCCAAAGGCCCTGCCTGTGTCGTCCGCAAGCTGCCCCGGTTCAGTTTCCGCTGTGTGAGGATGGCAAGGGGCCTGGGGGCCTGGTGAGGCCCAACCGACCACTCTATCAGGGGGACCTCCGAGAGTCACTCCTCTGCTCGTTGAGCTCTTGAGAGCAACATAAAATGGAAATACAGCCTTTTCTTTAAAAATAAGTAGCTGTTGCAGTCTCTAGCAAAATCCCAATGATATTTTCTGCAGAAATAGAAAAGCCCATCCTGAAATTCATAAGGAATCTCAAAGGACTGTGAATGGCAAAAACATTCCCCAAAAAGAACAAAGTGGGAGGACCCACGCTTCCTGATTTCAGAACTTAACTACAAAGCTACAGTAATCAAACCAGTGTGGTGCTGGCACAGGGGCAGGCATGTAGCCCAAAGGAATAGAACAGAGAGCCCAGAAACAGACTCTCCTGTGTGTGGTCAGATGATTTTCAACAAGGGCACTAAGGCCATTCAGTGGGGGAAGGACAGTCTTTCACACATGGAGCTGGGAACGCTGGACGTCCATCTGCAAAAGAACGGAGTTGGGCCCCTACCTCACACCACACACAAAATTAACTCAGAAGGGATCAAAGATCTGAATGTAAAACCTACAACTGTAGAACTTAGAGGAAAACATAGGACAAAAGCATGAGGACATGGGACTTGGCCGTGACTTCTTTGACACCAAAAAGCAGGCAACAGAAGAAAAAAATTGACAAATGTGACTTAATAAAACTTTTCATAATTTGTACATCAAAAGATACTATCCATGGAGTAGAAAGGCAGCCCCCAGAATGGGAGAAAGTATTTGCAGATCATACATCTGATGAGGGATTAATATCCAGAATATATAGAGAACTCCTAAAACTCAACAATAGAAAAACCAAACAGCCCAATTGAAAAATGGGTGGAAAACTGGACTAGACATTTCTCTGAAAAAGATACATGAATGGCCAATAAGAACATGAAAGGATGCCCAACATCACTAATCACTGGAGAAATGCAAATTGAAACTGCAATGAAACACCACCTTGCAAACATCATGACCGCTACTGTCACAAAACCAGAAAGTAACAAGTGTTGGTGAAGATGTGGAGAAACTGGAAACCTTGTACAGTGGTGGTAGGAGTGAAAATTGGTACAGCAGCTGTGGAAAACATTATGGTGATTCCTCAAAAAGTTAAAAATAGAATTATCTTATGACCCAGCAATTCCACTTCCAGGTAAATACCCCAAAGAATTGAAAGCGGGGTCTCTAAGAGGTATTTCCACACCCGTGTTCATAGCAGCATTGATCACGTTAGTCAAAAGGTTGAAGCAACCCAAGTGCCCATCAGTGGATGGATGGATAAACAAAATATGGTCCTTCCAGACAATGGAATATTATTCAGCCTTAAAAAGGAAGTGAATTCTGACACCTGCTACAGCGTGGATGAACTGTGAGGACGGTATGCTCAGTGGAATAAGCCAGTCACAAAAGGACAAATACTATATGATTCCACTTACAGGAGTTATAGAATAGTCCAATCAGAGACAGAAAGTGGAAAGGTGGGTGTCAGCTGGGGGAGGGGAATGGGGGTTGGTGTTCAGTGGGGACAGTGTTTCAGTTTTACAAGATGAAGAGAGTGACAGGGATGAGGGTGGATGGTGGTGGTGCTGGTCACACAGCAAGCCAAATGTGTCTAGCGCTGCTGAGCTGTGCTCTTGAGACGGTTAAGATGGTAACTTTGTTACGCGTATTTGAACACAATATTGAAAAGCAAAAAGCAAAACAAGACAAACCAGCAGCTGGGAACGACCCCATCGGGAGGACATTGTATTTTCCCCAGATACAAGCTTTTGCTTCAAGAGGGTTGTTACTGTGTTCACTTTTCAGCCACGTGAGGCTTTCCTTGGAGAAGGATTGTTCCTGAGTGGGGCCTGTCCCTTCTATTAATGGAGGTGGGGTTTTAAAACAGTGCTTACAGCCATAAAACAACCCAAAATTCAAGCCAAATCCTAGAACGAAAGTAATGTATGTACAACCTTTAAACTACATGTAGCTCCCTGTGACACATTTCTTAGCGAGTACATCTTTTTGTGGGGCACCTAGGTTTCTGGTTCCAGTCCATCACAGCTACGGACCCAGCGGAACCACCGTGCCCCGCTTCCCTGAGGGCAGGTTGGCCAAGACCAAGTTGGCCCGCCAAGTTCTGGCGGACTGTGAGCAGAACCTGCAGAGCTCAGGGCCGGGCACTTCATCTCTTCCTTTTGATTTTCGGGGGAAGAAAAGCAAAGATACCATCCAAACATCCTCATATACAAGAAGAAGAAATAAAAGCAGCTAAAAATGGGTACTTAATACACTGTGATGTGTATTTCCAAGACCAGGAGCCAAAGAGCAAAGCGACAAGAAAGGAGTGATGAGTCCCAATCACGTAGGGTCAGTGTTCCGGCTGCTTTGCAGAGCTGTTCTTCCCAACTTAGCAGGGATTTTGATTCAGTGGAATTGTACCGTTTACAGTCACTCCCACCTTCCCCAGATTCTCTCACTCCCCAAAGAAAAAGTGCCTCCTGTGTCTGGCTTGCCTCTCAGTGACTTCCAGTGAGGCAGCTTAGCCCTGCCGGGCAGGGCAGACTCCCCCCAAAAAACTCATATCCCACATGGGAAGAGTGCCAAATTACTACAATCTGAAATAATGATTTATTACCAAATTTAGAACTTAAATGCAGGCAAGCCTGCTTGCTAAAGCCTGAAAGGAAAGGGAAGAGCTTGCTTACAACTGGAGTGGCCAGTACTGACGCAGTGTGGCCATCACTGCTGCCACCAAGACTTGCCACCCCACAGGACACTGGAGAGTTTGATACTGAGAAGAGAAAACTGAAAACTGGAGCTTCCCCTAGAAAACAATGGCCAGTTCCGTGTGAACTGCTGGTCCACCCAGGGGTGTGGGTGATCCATGCTGGCTTTTCTCAGGAACAAATGTCACGTCCACTGGTGGCCTGGCATGAGTGTCTGTGCAACCCACTCAGCCGATGTGTCTCGAAACAGACATGCCCGGCCGAGCGAGCCCAGCAGTGTGGTTCGGGGTGTGTCTGGGACTCCCTGCACCCACACGGCAGCTCTGAGCAGCTGGCTGCGTGCCCAGGCCAAGGGGTCGTCCACTCCGTCTGAGTAGTACCTGGACGTCCTCCGAGGCTTCCCTCACCGAGCGGCGCCGAGGCCATATCTCCTGTGTGGGCCGGTGCTGGCACACTCTTGCTCTCCCCTGCTCTCCCCCCCTCTCCCCCCGTGGGCTGCTCTGCAGGAGGGATGGGGGCGTGCTGTTGGGGAGGGGCTCCTGCCCCAGGGTCACTAGCACCCCTTCCTCAGCCTGAGTAGCTGCAGGGAGCAGCTGGCCTGAGTCGCTCTCTCTTGCCTTTCTTCCTCCTGTCGCGCAGACTCTGTCCTGTCCCGGGCGGCCCAGCCCCTCCCACTGCACTGAGACTGTGCCCGCTTTGTCTGCACCTCTGCCTGGGGGCTCTGGGAGTGGTGGAATCCTCAGGGAGAGGCCAGTCTCAGTCTTTCGTGGCTCCCTGAGCACTTCCTGCCCTCACCTCCAAGCCCTGTGATGCCCTAGGACTCGGGGTGGACAGAGCCCTTCCCTTGGCTGGGCTCTGCTCACCTCTGGGTCTTCTGTCATTGCGGTGTCATCAGGGTGAAGTGCCACAGAGGAGGAGCACAGGGCCGGATACAGCAGGAGGGGCCGAGGAGGGGCTACGTCAGGGCTGGGGCGCACTGGCTGGTGGCAGGTTCACCCAGGAGGTGGGGCCTGCGGGGCCACTCGGAGTGGTGTCATTTCACACTGAAGTCTCAGAAGACCAGCACTCCTTCCTAAGCTGGAGGACGGGCTGTGAGAGACAAGCAAGGCCCCCTCCTTCCCCGCCGGTTTCTCTCCTCAGCTGGCGCATCCGTACCGGGCAATGATCCTGAGGGCCATGGAGACGGTGGTGAACAATCACCTCAGTGAGCTGGACAAGGACACGGCCAGGGCTGTCATCCTCCTGGCTTCCGGCGAGATGACCAGAGTGAAGGTATGAGGGGCACCTGCCCTGGCCTGGCTGGCTCGCCCTGGCTCGGGCAGGAATCTTCTTTCCGAGGCCTTTCCACCCAAGTGCGTCAGGAGTGTGTTTGTCTGGCAGCTTCAGCACTGGCCCCTCGGTCCTGTGTACTGACTACCCGTCTGGGGTGAGGAGGGTCAACCCACAATTTCAGATGGAAACAGAGAGCAAAACTCTTAAACTCCCAGGGCACAGAGGCACCTGTGCCCGGCTCTGCTGTTTGAGGACGAGTTGGCTCTGCGTGGGGCCAGTGCTGCAGCCTGGAGAAGAGGCAGCGTGTTCTCTGATGTGACCAAGGGCAGAGTGGCTCAGGGTTGCCTCTTGGGCGACTTCAGGGTGAGGTACTGTCTGCTTGGGTCAGGGTGTCAGTTCAGATTTTTGGGGGGCAGGAATTGGTCTACGACTGGCAGCAGGCGGCCAGCAGTGTCCTCGTGGCGGTGGGGAAGCGATTCATCGGCAGGGTGATGGAGGAGCTGCTGAGCAAGTTCCAGCCCGGGGTCCTGCCCCACTACTTCGTCGTGCAGACGCTTGCCAGCCTCTCAGTTTCCAATGGTAGGTGACAGCTCGATACCCCCCCAGCCAGTCGAGGGGCCCTCCAAGAGCCCCGATGGCACCCCATGTCCCCACAGTTCTGTCATGAGCCCCAGGCTGTGCAGAGAGCAGTCCTGGCACGTGGCAGGGCCCTCTGCCTCTTCCTGACGCACCTGCTTTTGCAGTGTTCGGCATGGTGCCCTTCCTGACGTCCGTCCTGAGCACCATGCTGCCCATGCTGGGCGCCGCCAAGCACGACACCATGAGGGTGGTGTTCTGCTCCGGTAAGATGGGGTCTCTGCGGGGCAGGGGCTGCACACTGCCGGGCCACTCCTGGGCCTTCTGTCTCCAGTGCCCCTCTGGGGCGCGTGGGTCCTTTGGGCTGTAGGAGGAGGGTGGGACATTCAGGGGAAGGGTGACTGCAGGCGGGGCTGGGTGGGCACTGCTGCAGGTAGAGGCCTGGCCTCTGCCCTCTGACTGCTTTTCTCTGCTGCTGGGTTCCTCCCACCCCACCCCGCATGCAGACCTCACACTGCAGTCCTCTGAGGCCTGGACACTTGACTGGGGGTGCGGAAGAGGCTTGCCCCACGCTGAAGCTGCTCTCAGTCCTCCCCCTGCTCCGTCCTGGAAAAGTGACCTTTCCCTGGGCATTTTGGCGCAGAGTGCTCTGTCTCACCCTCTGTATGTGTGGCTCTCTGTGTGCCTGGGCAGGGGGTGGTGCCTCATGGCACGGCGCTTCATGGGAAGAGGGGGCTCTTGTGAGAGGGGAATAGAGGATCCTGAAACTGGGGGCTGAGGGGCCTGGGCCTCCTCCAGCAGCCACCACACTGCCCTTGTCCTTCAACTTCCTGGTGTCCCCAGTGTCCCCGCCCATCTCAGAAAGACTGCTGGCTGGTACTGCGGGGTGGGAGGGGGAGGCCCCCACGAGGACAGGAGCCTTGTTGATCCCAAGCCCAGCCTGTTAGGAGGTCCTGGGCTCCCATCCTAGGTGACCAGGCCAGGGGGAATGTGGAGGAGGCAGGGGCGTGGTCGGGTGTGGTTACAACGAGAGGGTGTGGCCGCGGCGGGCAGGAGGTGGAGTGGGATTGGGGTGGGGCTGGGGGGCTCTGTAGTCAGGTGGAGGGTTGGAGGGTTGGTGTGTTTGAGGAGGGGTCCCAGGGAAGGTGTCCATCCTTTGCACACCTGGGGACTTTCCTAGCAGGGGCCTCGCGCTTTGGGCTCCAGCCCACCCTGTTCCTGGTGGCTCTCAGGGGCCCAGGGAAGGGCTCCAGCTCCTGCCAGCCCTCTGCATAGTCCCCATGTCCTCCATTCTCTGTGGCCTCTTTGGTGCCTTCCTCTTGCTGGCTCCTCCCACCTGTGGGTGATGGCAGGCGCTTGGATTGAATGATGGAAACCCTCTTTGACCGAGTTTTGGCTAAAAAGGGAATTTGCGACAGGATCTCCAAGCAGCTGAGGCAGGAATTACCGCTGAGCTGGGAACGCAGGAGCAGGACGCGGAAGGGACCCAGGCAGAGCTGTGGGTCTGGGCAGGGTGTGTACCTTAGGTGCGCTGAAAACAGGGTAAAGGAGCAGGGGCGGGTGGGGGCAGAGACCAGCCTCGGACAGCGAGCATCCAGGCTGGTGGTGGTGGAAGAGCCTTCGTGGAGCCGTGGAGCTGTGTGCCCTGGACAGCTCCCCCGGGAAGCATTGGCAGCACTCCTGGGAAGCGCTGAGCACTGTGTGGAAAGCAGATATGCAGTTCTGAACTCCTCGTGCCCTTCCCTTCACAGGCCTAAAATTCCTGCAGTTTTTACCCTGTTGGTGTTTGTGTAGGTGGGAGGGGCCAGCAGGCCAGTAGGGGTCTGCCGCCCTCCTACTGAGGTGCACTCCTCGCCACAGATGGGAATTCAGTGTCTGCAGTTGGAGGAAAGACCATGGAGTGGCCTCAGGCCGGCCAGGAGAGTCCACATCAGCCCGGCGGCGGCCTGCATGGGCCGGGAGAGGGCCGAGGCCTCTGGTCCTCGCAGGCAGCCTCTGGTTCTGGGCAGATCTGTGCCCACTGCAGGAAGGAGGCACAGGTGGGCAGTGGCGCGGGCACACTCGAAAGACCTTGTCCAGTTTGCGGGACGCTGTGGCCAGGCAGGAGAAGAGCTGCAGGGAGGCCTCAGCGACGGTGTCGACACGTCCCAGCAGCAGGGTCACGCATGGCCTGGCCACACTCTCTAGCACTGACCGGCAACCAAAAGGCACTGCCCACAAGGAAAGTCTCTGACGGGAAAGGCGGTAGCAAAGTAAACAGAAACTGAGACTTGGGGGAAGCAGATGGTTTAGAGAGAAGAAAACAGGCAGGAAAGAAATTGTTCTAACACCCGAGGGAGGTAAGAGAGGG